GTTTGACCATTTGATCTATTTGACCAGACCAATTTGACCAGCAAATTTTTGCTTGACCATTGATTTACCCAACACTGAATTTATTATAGTAAATAGGCATTTAATGTTACACTAACCATTATCATCGGGGCTGTATATGAATTTGTTAGATCTGCATTACAGCTGTTCTATAAATTCCGAGACACTTGAAAAAAGACCGAATTTGATAAGTTTTTGACATCAGCCAACGTCATTAACTTATGTCAGTAACTTAAGTCGGTAGCTTATGTCAGTAACTTATGATAGTAACTTATGATAGTAACTTATTGATAACTTACCGATTCGGTTACTGGAAAACCTATTACGGGTTTTCCGAGTGCATCTGACTTTCAATTATATTTATAATGACTTGTCACAAAATAGAAATTATAGATTTTTAAGTTTTGTATATGCGCAAAATTTTTCATGTTAGTGTGGGTTAGATTTAAGGTTTGGGATGGGGTTTTGGGCTCACAGATTAATTAGCTATATTTTGCGATAATGCATTCATAGGGTGTAAAACATCACAGGAGCATTTAAAAATATATATATATAAAATTAGAAATTAGTTTTACGTAAAAAAGTTAGTAGAATAAAAATAATAAAAAAGGTTATTAACTACCATCTAAAACAAAAGAACAAAAAAGGATTTTGATTATATTCAATAGCAAAGTCCTACGTACAATTTGATAATACCTTGTATATACTTTTTGCGTACAAATAATATAAAATTATGAACAGCCAATAATATGAAAGTCGTCTAACCTCTTTAGTTTATTGTTTAAAAAAACCGGAAGTATAACAATTTGTAGATCATATGATCATATGCAGATTATTTTTTTGTATAACAAAAACAAACCAAAATATTAAAATTCGATTATATCATAAAATTTTGTTTATGAAGACACTAAGAAAAAAGTTATTGGTAAATTTTACTATAATTTTGCCTAACTCTAAACTTATACCTTTATCATTACCCTAATAATAAAGAAATTTAATTTTTGTTTTGTAAATTTTATAAATATTTTTTCGTAGAATTTTAACGAAAATTTTTAATACAAATAAAAGAAAGCGGGGAATGATAATTTTCATACATAGCCATCGTTTAACGGCAGGTCTAATACTTTAACAGTATTAAGAATTAACCAGATAAGTTATTTTCAACTGAAAAATGACATGTGTCAACCAAAGATCGACATAAATATATGTCGTAACCAAACTTACATCTAATAGGCAGAAACTATAACATTCTGGACCCATCGAAAATTTTTTAACTATAGCATTAAAGGTAAGTCCAATTGAAAAAGATAATTATCAAAGGTTTTTTGATTTTCAACAATCTAAACTAAATATAGAAATAAGAAAAATCAATATACAAATTAAGAAATCGGACAAAAGATCCGAAAATTAGTCACATCACAAATTTTAACGTTGTACTATCAAAATTTAATCAAAATTTAATCATTACTAATTTAGAAAGAATTTGAAATTAAGCCCAAAAAGAAATTTCCAGGGAGAAAAACCAACCATTAAACCTTCGGAAGAGTTAGCTCAAAAGAACTTTCGAAGGAAAATCCAACTAATAAGTACCTCCGATATTCAGCATTCAAAGAGCGTAAAATCTGAAAAAAAAAAACATCTAAATAATATCTAAATAATATCCAAATACTTTTTTTTATTGAGAAAACCAATTCTTAATTCATTATTGGTCCAAGAAGGTGAAAACTATATAAAAATTGAGAATAGGAAATTGAGAATATAAAAATTGAATATATAAATTTTAAACGCTCATGTTACGCGATGAACAATAGCATATATAAAATGATTAAATCAATCATGGGTTTGTACAAGAATGATAATAGAGTTTTACGCTAATATTTTTCTTATAGACTAACGCAAAATGCGAATATACATTAATAAAAATATGTTAAAATATATGCTAAATAGCTGATTATATGCAGGGAAATGTGAATGATAACGCATGCACGTACGTACGTACATACGCATATACGCACTTAGGTAACAGTAACAGTAATAATTAAACACTGTGGAGTGAGAAGATGTAAACAATTATTTTTAATTCACGAAAATAAAAGCCTATACAAATATTGTAAGTATTGGTTCTACTAAATATTTTAAATCTTGGTATCTTTGTTTCATGAAGTACGATTAAAAAACACATTACAGCATAGTGAACACAATAAACGTATTAACATTAATTAGCACGAATTTCATTCAAAATATACTAAAAATGTACGTGCTTTAAGAAGAAATACGTGTACGTGCTTTAAGAATAATTAATATCTATATAAAACGAGTTTTAAAGTTTAAAAGTTTAATTGATTTTTCCAGCATATACTAGTAACGAATAGTAGCGACTAGTAACAAATAGCCTGTGCATAATACAGTAATATCAGACTAATTTCCAACGAATAGCTAATAAAAGCAATAAAATCAATTACAGTAACAGTAAGTTAAATTTGATAAGGTAAACCTATACCTTGTACAATTGCACTCAATATGGTACATTTACAAATATCGATTGGAAGAGATGTTTTTGCCATATAGATTTATTTGTAACCGATGGTTACTCAAAGTTTTTTTTAGAAAAACAAATATGCATATAAAGACCATTAAAAATTTCCTTACTTCCACACGTGTATTACTTCACTATCAAATAATTTGAAATTCAAAAAACTTGTGTTCAATCAATCGTTAAAAAAATAACAATAATAAAGAATGTGTTTTACCCGACGAAAAGGAAAATTTCATATTTGGACGACACCGAAAGAATGGAATTCGAAAAAAACATACACAAAGAATTAAGTTTGCATGGTAAAATATTACAACATTAATTAACAACGTTTGATTACCATACAATTACCATAAGTTATTGCATCATTTTACGCAAATTTACGTTAGTTAATGTTAGTTGAAGTTAGTTGATGTTAGTTAATGTTAGTTAATGCTAGTTAACGTTATGTTTTTTTTTCGTATAACTCATATTATACATTAAGAGAAAATTGTACACACATTTATTCTCAGCCCTGAAAGCCCTTATACGTACGTACGTAACTAGAAAGGAGTAATTAAATATTCTTAAGCATTTATTAAAAAGATTTTCGTATTACACAGAATGTTTACAAATTTTGAATTTCAAATTAACCATTTTCTATACTTTGGTATTCATTCTTAGGTGCTATTCTAAGCTATTCTGAGCAATTCTAATTTTCGGGTAAAAAATGTTCCGCGAACAATATAAAAATGTGGCATTTAACTTCGAATTAATTGATTCCAAACTTTTTTCCGGGGTTCCGTGCACACTTTAGTTTCCGATGATATTACTAAATATTTTTCTTTTAACAGGATATTTTTTATGTAATAAAATATGTAATAATAAAAAAAAAAAAAACCTTACGCAAATCTTGCGCCAATAGTTAACTTCTTTGTTCTCCGAATTCTTTGTCTAATCAATGATATTCTATATATATATATATATATATATAACCTAAATTATTATGTTTATTATAAATTAATATTATAAATTATAAATTACTATTATTATATTTTAATTTTATAATTAACAAAAAAACAACTATAATACTGATTATCATATCATGAATTGAGTAACTTTGGTCGCGTGCCAGTGTGCAGTTACTTTTTTTTTTTTTCTTTTTTTTTTGCCCACGACGAAAATCTTAGATTTATTCAAAAATCAAATCTTTGTAATACACATACATATTTTAATATATGACTGTACTCATAATCATTAACACATCTGTAATACTTAAAAACATATATTTATGGCACGTTTTCACCATCGAAGTTTCTTTTATCACCAAAATTTTCAAGTTTAGACCCAGTTTATAAATTTGTTTACAAAAAATTATTAGGAGGCCTCCTAATAGTTCTATATTTTAAAAAACAAATATAAGTTAGTAACCATGACCGAAGAAGCTAAAGAAATTAAAGAACACATTACTGAAGTTAAAATTGAGAGTGATTATGACAAGAAACGTCGTGAAGCTCTTGCTCAAATTGATAATGCCAAATTTGGATGGTTTCATATTAGAACTTGCTGCGTAGCGGGTGTAGGCTTCTTTACCGACGCCTATGATATTTTCGCTATCAACCTCGTAGCCGTCATGTTAGCTTATGTATATTTTGGAAAAAATTCTCTTCCGGTTGAGGTCGATTTACCCATAAAGGTTGCAACGCCTGTAGGTACATTCATAGGTAAGAATGGAAAAAAACCCAGTTTGAAACACTTTTTCACCGATTTAAAACAAGTGATTAAAAGTCCGAATAGTTTAATTTGTTTTTAATTGTATTAAAAACATAATCATCACCCGTTTTTAATTACGTAATAAAAAACATTTTCAATCCCTATTTATAGGTCAATTCGGTTTTGGTTTATTAGCTGATCTTGTGGGCCGTAAAAAGGTAATATATTATTCTTTTCTTTTAAGAATTCAATAAAATTCTCGACAAACAATAAAATCCGATCACGTGACCTAAATTTATAGTATTAGGGTTACTTTAACCCGGGTCAAAATAGAGATTTCCGTTTTTTTTATTATTCCTGTAAACAATTTTCCTAATTATTCCCATTATAAAAATTTTTAGATGTATGGCGTAGAGTTGATGATCATCATCTTTTCAACATTGGCTCTTTGTCTTATTTCCAATGCATACGTTTTCGATCCTGTTGCATCAAGAGGTTCTAATCCTCCTACGTCAGTATTCAAATCGAACTCCCAAGTTGTCTCAATTCAAGGTCTTATGATTTTCTTGCGTGTTTTGTTGGGTATTGGTATTGGTGGTGACTACCCATTATCTGCAGGTAAACTTTTCTTTTTTCTTTTTCTTGTCATTTCTTCACTATCGCTAATCTTTCATTTCATTTCATCTTTCATTTCATGTGACTTTTAAAAGTAATTGCTAGTGAATTTGCTACAACTAAAAGAAGAGGTGCTATGATTTCCGCTGTTTTCGCTATGCAAGGAATTGGAATCTTAGTTGCTGCTATCATTTCAACGATTACTGTAGCTGCTTTCCAATCTACTATCTCCCCTGACGATTATTCTCACATTGATTATATATGGAGGATTGTCACCGGTTGTGGTGCAATTCCTGGTTGTATTGCCCTTTATTTCCGTTTAACTATACCTGAAACCCCTAGATATACTATGGATATTGAACGTAATATCGATCAAGCTGCTGCTGATATTAACACCGTGTTAGAACATGGTGTATACAAACCACGTGAACAAGAGGTTGTCGTTAAAGTTGATGCTCCTAAATTTTCAGTATCTGATTTCTTCCGTTATTTTGGCAAATGGGAAAATGGAAAAGTTTTATTCGGAACTGCTTTTACTTGGTTCGCTTTAGATGTAGCTTTTTACGGCATTGGTCTAAATAATAACATTATTTTGGGAAATATTGGTTTCCTTGGTGATGGTAGAGATCCCTATGAGACTTTATTTAAAGCTTCTGTTGGTAACATTATCATCGCTTTATTGGGTACCGTACCTGGTTATTGGGTGACTGTTTTCACTGTGGACTTTTGGGGTCGACGTCCAATTCAATTATTGGGTTTTGCTGTTCTTACTGTTGTATTTATCATCCTCGGTTTTGCTTACAAGCAAATTAAGGAAATTACTTGGCTTTTTATCATTTTCTTCACAATAGCTCAAGTAAGTCTTGTTTTAAATACATATATAATTATATATAAATTTTTTTTACATTTTTTTTTTACATTTTTTTTTACATTTTATTACAATATATTTACAATTCTTTTTTTTTTCTTTCAGTTCTTCTTCAACTTTGGCCCCAATGCAACTACATTTGTTGTACCCGGTGAAGTATTTCCAACTCGTTACCGTTCAACCGGGCATGGAATTAGTGCTGCCGCTGGAAAATTGGGTGCCATCATTTCACAAGTCGGATTCTTCAAATTAAAGGATATTGGAGGCAAAGATGCATATATAGATAATTTATTCAAAATCTTTGCCGTTTTTATGTTATCCGGTTTAATAGTCACTTACTTCTGTGTACCAGAAACAAAGGGTAAAACATTAGAAGAATTGTCAAATGAAGACCAAGACGGTTTCATTAAAGGTGTAAACAAACCTAAAATTATAGAAGCCAATGCTTCTTAAATATGATTATTTTCAAATAATAGATTTTAGAAATTCTTGAACATTTTTTTTTATAGTAAATTCTTCATGTGCATCGGAATTTTTAAAAAAAAAACTGATCATGTATTTATAAATTAATACTATTTATCCCTTTATTATATCCTATCAAAAACTACATCATCAAAAAAAACAACCAAGCTTTTTAAAAGATTTTTATTTTTTAATTTATTATTATTATTTTACCATTTACCTTTATAGGATATATATTTGTATTTTTATTAATTTTAAAAAATTTTATTTATTTTTCACAATATTGTACAAAACTAGTACTACACGATTGCGCCATTACACTATTAACATTCGTGTGAAATTAATATGTTCACCTATTTTTTGCTTTAAGGTGTAAATGACTATGTATTTTGATTTATGTGGGTACGTATCCTAGAGTACGCAAGTTACGTTCATTCGTACAACGTACCTTACGTACATATTTTTTTTTGAAGCACATGAAATAATTAAATTCATTCTTTTAGGTTTTTCATTTTATTTCATTTTTTTTTCATGTATGATTATTGATTTAATGTCAATAAAATTAATAAGTATACATAACTTTCTTAATATTTTTTTTCCCAAGTTATTAAACTAAATCGTCAAACTAAACTAAAATCGTTAAAAACGTTCGCTAAATTGTTAAACATTCACTAAATCGTTTAAAATGTTCACCAAATTATTAAACGTTCGCTAAATCGTTGAAGTGCTTATTAAATTGTTAAAAGTTCGTTAAATAGTTAAAATGTTTATTAAATTTAAAACGGTTATTAGATTGTTAAAGGTTAAATGTTCGCTAAATCGTTAAAACGCTGACTAAATTATTAAATGTTCGCTAAATCGTTAAAACGTTCACTAAATTGTTAAACATTCACTAACAATCAACTATCCCAGTATCACCTCTAGGGATGGACCGCTGCGCAGGCGGAATATTTCGGAAGGTCGGAATATACCGGAAACGAACGAAATTTAGCAATTTTGGCCCGCATTAGCCATAATGCAGGCCCGTGCAGGCTGCGCAGCCTGCGCAGTATTTTCAAAAAATCTTCGATTTCCCATTCCTAATCGCCTCCAAAATTCTACAGACACGTGGCCAACAGCAGCGAAAACAAATCATAAATAAATCATAACTAGGGATGCGATTATACCGGTATAATAGAAAACGGTAGTATAATACGTACCATTGGGGTGGTCAATTATCTAATAAAATCAAACATATATCTAGTCCCATATAAATTTACAATATTGCAGATTTTTTTTATTATAAAACAAATTATTATTGCTCGATATGACTTTATTTAGACGAGGAAGAACCAAATAGCGTTTTTTCAAATTTCATGCGAACTGTCCTAGCGTTACCATTCTAAAAAATTTCGCTCGACCAATCAAAATTTAGCGATCATCCAAAAATTTTAAGATTTTCCAAACTTCTAGCGAAGGTTTCTCAATAACTACTTGATCAAATTCGGTAAACTTTCTTTGTAAAATCAAAATAAAAAATTATTATTGAATTTGGTTTAGTGGTTGTCGAGAAATCTT